GGGATTAGGGTTTAAGGCTTAGGATTTCAGAGGGATCTTTAGGGTTTAGGTTTCAGGGTTTAGGAGGTCAGGGTTCCATAGTTCGGGGTTTAAGGCTGTATAGTCTGCAGTGTCTAAGGTTCAGGGGATTAAGGTTTCACCATATTGTTTAAGTTTGTGGTTCTGGGGACCCTCTAACTAACTCTGACCACAAGAGTCCTAGTACATTCCATTTATCTGGTACTGGTGGGTGGGGAAGATCACCTATTGCACCTTTTAAATTACCAGCCAGAACGGAGGATTGAACCCTGAACCGTAGACCCTTACCTCCTCTTTGCCGAGGATTCAACACTCCCATACCCCCACATAACAAACAACAATTGGCACATATACAAAAAGCCAGGCTTCGTACCTAGACCCTCCATCTACCCTGTATTATACCCTAAATACCCACTATAAGGGACCATACACTGCTATTTACGAAGTGCAGGGAGGGTCCTGGTAAGCAGTGAGGTATTGTAACCAGCGGCGTGATCTAAAGGAGGAAGCCATGTTAACAGCGGATTACGGGGTGTCCGATTTGACATGTGCCTTCATTGCCCACTCCAGGCTTGCCACCCATTGTAGGGCCGGTGCGGTACTGAGGGACAATAAGCGCAGACACAAGAGCTAAAACGACTTCAGCAGCTTACTCCACATTCAGACCCACAATCTCAAACTCTCAAAGAATCCATACACATCTTGCAATGGCGAGGAATTGCAATAACATGAGTACAAACGGCCGTCTGGATCACATTCCGGCCTAAGTCATGCAAAAATGCTGCGGGGTGAACTGACTGGTACAAGCATACAAGGAAGATCAAGCTAGAACATTACCACCATGGCCTTGCAAATTCGTGCAGCCTTCTAAGAACACGCGAAATCCATACCGCATACCGTATACCCCTGGAGCCGGAGGCGAACTCACCCTTGTTGCCTACGGTTTAGGGTTTAGGGGTTAGGGTTTAGGGTATTTTCCATGTTCTTTTCCATTTGACACAGGCCCCAATGTGCGCAAAGCTCCGAGAGCCCCACGTTGACCGCCCAAACCTGCAGTTGATATTGGGTTAAGGGTTTAGGGTTTAGGGCTGGGAACTACAAGCTTGAAGCTGCTCAAGCTGCTCAAGACCAGATGAGCTGTAGTCTAAACTCCTTACAGGAGGGTTATATGGGGCATTATTTAGGGGAGCACTATGGGGGGTATGAAGGGGGATACTAGGACTTTAGGCAATGGCTCAGATTGGCTACATATTTCAAATCCTTTTATGGGTTTGTGAAGAATTCTGCGGAACTGACTGAACTCAAAAGACTCTGCAGTTAGGAGGTTTGCGTATGCCGGAAGCATGCCCATACGACTTCTGATACGTCTGGGTCAATACTACTTGTATTCTCGATGTTACAACGAAAATTCCAAACTGATAGCTAACGTCCCAGATGACAGCTTTCGACTTATTATTTACCCAGCTCTGTCGCGACGGTCATGCAGTCTCATCATCACATAAACTATAATCTGAACTCCTAGTATCCCCCTTAATATCCCCTATAGTAGTCCCCTATATAATCCCCTATATAGCCCCCTTTAAGGAGTTTAGATTATAGCTCACATAAACACAATCGACATCACTCCAGTGTGCCGCAGTCGCTGTCATCATCCTGCTCTTCCTCATCAACTTCCCCAGAAGAATCATACCATGCTGCCACCTACGAACTGGGCTTCGGCTTCCTATAGATACCGGGCGTGAGGCTACTCCCACTGCTTCAACCCTTCCAGGATTGTAGTGATGTTGCTGTCTTGAGCTTGGGACAAAGCAGTGTCCCCCCATTTGTCCTGGAGGTGGACATCAGCACGGGCCCCCAAAAGCAGCTCGACGATATCATCTCGCTCAACAAAGCCAGCCTGCATCAGCGCACTTCTGCCTTGAAAATCTTGGTGGTTCACATCCGCGTGTGCTGCAAGTAAAGCTTCCGCCACCTCAAGAAACTCGTCGGGACCCTGCGAGACTGAGAAGGCAGGACCACTCAAACCACATTCCGCTGCACGCATCAAGGCTGTGACGCCGAAACGCGAGTCCATGTTGTTCGGGTCGGCCCGGCCATCTAGAAGTACCTCAACTACACCCAAGACACCACGCTTGGCTGCTTCCCGCACAGCACTGCTGCCAAATCTGTCCGTTGTTGTGGCTGAAGCCCTTCTGGAGATAAGGTCACGCACAATCTCTGGACTGCAGTTGTTGCTTTCGATCATATGTATCAATGCGTCCTTCCCATTCCTATCCCTCAGATCAGGCTGTGCTCTCCCGTCCAGCAGGAGGCGGACTTCCTCCAAGTCTCCTCTATGCAGAACTTGGAACCCTAGTAAAAATTATAATTTTTGCTGTTCCTTAGGATTGTAATAAGCAAAAAATAAGCATTATTTCCAAGATTTTCCAAGTACCCCTAAGTCCTTTCTCCGCTGCCAACACCAGTGCCCCCGCACCGCGGGTATTTTGCAGACGGGGCTCGGCGCGAGCTCGCAGTAGCCACGCCACCACCTGCCTGTTGTGCTTCCCGGCCGCTGCCAAAAGCGCCGGATCCAAATCCACGCCTGTTGTGCCAACTGCGCCTTCCACAAGTTCCTTGATGATTGCCTTGGCTGCTCTTTCTAAGCCCGTGAGATCTGAATAGCCCAAAACAGGCTGTATCTGTGGACTTTAGCGCCCCAAGTAGAAATCCTTCATAGACTCATGTAGACCTCCGCGGAACTCATTAACAAGATGATTTTAGGATGATGGCTGCTTGCGGCATTGAGAGGAAGGTCGGAACCTCCCATGGTGGTTGCAGCATTTTTATATAGTCTATATGGACCTCAAACCGACTGCGTGACCATGATGGCACAACACGCTGGCAACCCCTAAACCCTAAACTCTAGAAACTAAACGCCTCAAACCCTAAACCCCTCTGAGGCCAGACACCATGTGACCAGCTTCTGCTGCCATTGGCAGAATGCTCTTCAAATCATCGCGGCTCTCTGGGCTTCGCCGAATGATGTCGCGGGCGATCTGAACTTGTCCGCTTTCGGCCGCTGCAGCCAGCCCTACCCTGGCAGTCCCGACTCCACCTGAGGGTTTTCCAAACATGCAAGCTTAAATCTTGAGTTTGAGTCGCGAGCATAGACAACATGGAGTTGTTGCAGCGGTCCTGAAAGTGATTCAAGATTCCCAGCAAACCGAGTCGACTCCCGTTTAATAGCTGGTTCTACTCGGCGCCTACTTTCAGAAGGCTCTGCCAAGTACTTGTTACAACCCCAGCCACGCTCAGCAAGAACTGCCGCCACACCGCTGTGGCCCGCAAAGACAGCGCACCGAATTGCTCTTTCTACGTCCTCTTGCGAGCCCTCCTGCTTTGCGTCAAGAAGAGCAAGGACCTGGGTAGGGTGTTATTAGGGTTATATTAGGGTTATATTGGGGTTATATTGGGGCTATATTAGGGTTAGGCTGCCATAATATATCCAAGTTGATATACTGTTTCTTCAAAATGATAGCTTAGATTTAGTTCGCTACTAGCAACCCAGGGACCACATCCACATGGCCGTGCTCTGCTCCATAGTGAAGGGCATGCTTTTTGTCCTTGTTCTTCACAGCGGCTTTAACGCCGGCCCTCAAGAACTCTTGCACGAGGCCAACATCTTCTTTTTCCTTGCTGACGGCTAGTAGGGAATAAGGGAATCAAGCAGAAAATGGAAAACCGCCATATCATGACAGATTATATGAGCTAGCCTAAAATCCTAGTATCCCCCTAAATAACCCCTATAAAAGTCCCTATATACTCCCTTATATAACCCCCCTTTCAGGAGTGTAGACTATAGATCATATAGGAACTACCATACGAAGCCCCGTACAAACAATGACCAAGCTTCGGCAGCGCGCAGGCATTTGAGATGGTTCCGGTGATTTTGTTCGTGGAGTTGCACCAAGGTTGCCTCCCCTCCCAGTCAAGCCTACGTTCAGGGATTCTTTACTTCGTTTATGGGGTTTGATATGGCTTTTCGTAGAGACTCTGATGCTACATATGAGGTTCTGGGTAGGGTATACGGCTTTAATGGTTCAGGTTAGAAAGAACTGACAAACGTGGTATTTGATTTTTTTTTTTTTTTGGGGGGGNNCAATTTTTTGGAAACAGTTTGTACCTAAACCTACGCTAAGGTAGGAGTGAATGGAAGAACAAGGTTATTGTAGCGATTATACTTGGAGGTCCGTGGGCAATATTCCACTCATGAAAGTACGTATTATAACCCTAAGCCCTAAAACTTCATTAAGAACTCCCTAGCCGCCTAGTATCGTTATGACTAGGTTCCAGGTACAGTAGTGAGCAGATAGGAGGCAACCATAGACCTCCAAGTACAAGTAGGGTCTTGCTGGCAAAGGGCCACGACAATCTTGAGGTGTCATGAAGTGTAGATGTAGAACACCATTCGGGGTTTAGGCATTTACCCCTAGCGCTTCATTACAGGATCTTTTTCCTCCAGCTCCATCAGCCTGCGCCAAGCATTGGCAGCCTCAACAGGCGGCTGCCCATCATCTTCCTGCTGCTTCCTTAATCTCAATGATTCGGGTTTAGTTTTTTGTTTTAGGCTCTAGGATTTTGGTTTTGTAGAATACCTATAACGTGGTTACCATGTAGGTAGTTCGGGGCATGTGAATAAACGATGCAGGATACAGCTGCCTTGCCTTCTGTAAAAAGGTCCTGTTTACACTTGGCTAAGAGAAACCCTCCCCGTATAAGCATAAAGGATCCCTGAGGCGGACCAGGCCTCATGTAAAGGGAGTAGGGCGACGGGGGCAGTGAAGCATCACAAATCTCTGGCCTGGAGCGCGGGTCATACATAGCTTTTGCTGGTATGAGGAAGCGGTTCACCCTGACGGGCTGGCGGGCTATCTCCGACATCAGGAGAAGAGCTCGAGTAAAGTTGTCCTTCTTGTCCGTGAGAGCAGAGATGTCTGAGTGCAGGTCCATTAAGGCTCCTTTAGGTGTCCCAGCATAGTCGGCCAAATCTGTCATCAGCTTGATAATGGCATCGAAGCCTTCTCGGGGAAAGATGTCTGTTGTCCAATAACCATTGCGATCTTTCACACCCGGCTCAACGTAGCGCCGAAATATCTGATCCAAGAGCAAGTTCGGCAGCTTAACAGACTCATCGAAGAACTGGCCAAAGAAGGACCTGAGATGCCTCGCGCAAAGTCTTGCACCCTCGTGCTTGGAGTCGCCGTAGAAGCTGCGAAGCTCGTTGTCGTTGATCGATCGGTTAGACGAACCAAAGAGCAAGGGGAATTCTTCCTTACTCTTGTCAAAGTAAGTTGACGATGCGGGGAGCAAATCGAAGAGCGTTCCATTGACCTCAAGCTGAATTGCAAAGCCCTGACCTGAGAGGTGAGCCTCTGGGTCTAGCTGCTCTTGGAAAGCCTCCAAAAGCCGATCTCGATGGAGCTCGGACACCACAAAGCCCGGATCAAAATAGATATCGGAATCGCTTGATTTTGTATCTGTGTACCGGGAGCCTGAGCCACCGAGCCGCATTGTCACCTGACACTCGAGCTCTTTCTCCAAAATCTCGGACAAAGGCAGCAAGATAGGACCAGAACTGTTTAACACGCCATCGTTCGTCATATGCCTTTGCCATGCCAATGGAACAGGGGCAAAGCGGGCACGAAGGCCATCCCTTGCAGGCTTAGGAAAGCTCTTTCGAGGCTTCATGAAAGGGTAAGGCTCAATTCCCTCTCGCTTCTCCCAGGACATCCAGTCCTCCTGCACTACCTCAGGCCATTTGTAGAAAGGTACCTCATTGAACCAGTCCTTCACGCACTGTCTTCGCCAACGCCCAAGTCGACTGGACCTTGAGCTCACCTTCAGCCTCTGGAAATTACAAAACTGCAGAGGGCGGGCAGCTCTGCGCAACCATCGCATGGCAACAGCAATAGCAGTCATCAGCGGAACCTGACGATTTGCCCGCATTGCGACAAAGTCGTAAGCAGAGTTTGCGTAATAGCAAGTCTGGAGCCACGTACTGTGCAAAGATGTGCACTCAAATTCCTCACTGGTGGTAGTAGGGCATGGAATTCCTGTAAAATCCCTATAATACATATATATATATATATACATATCTTCCCTACTAACCCCCAGCAAATTTCACGCATTGGGGTTTATGGTGAAGTTGCAGGAAGGTAAGGGTGATTCGAAGCGCCCAATTAGCATGATGTTCATAATCAATGCCACGTCCACTCCTCAACTGTGGCATTGTCGTGACTAATCTTTGCTACAGCTAGGGTACTGCCCCAACTCATTAACAGTTGGATAATGTTCCTTGTATGATTATATGGAGCGCTGAATATGACCCATATAACAGAGTGTTAGTGGGTGGTGGCAGGACATAAGCTACAGTGTTCACTAGCAATGTTTGCGCATGCATAGTCCTCATGACCTCTCTAAACCCCGGGAAGGCAGCCGACATGCTGACCAATACATGCATGTACTTGCTACAGGGATACATAGGGATGTATAGGGACATACAGGGGTTTTGGGCTTAGGGTTCAGGGCTGAGGGTTTAGGATACATATTGCAAGTCGGTAGAACCCAGCCTCACAAGAAAATGGCCCTCTGGAGTTCGGGGGTTGTGGCATAAGGTTTATGCGCAAGATCTCTGGCTTGGGGTAGTCCATCATCCGCATCAGTCATGAATTCAAAGGGCTTGGAGCCCAAACCTCTAATGCCCTGGACCCCACAGTATTAGTATACAGTGGACCTGAGACCGTATCAGCTCGATTCCCCCAACCCCAACCCTTGCTTGTCTTACTGGTGCTTGAGCGAGGGAGTGGATCCACCTAAACCCTAAACCCTAAACCATATAATAACCTCTACATTATCCCCATTTATACCCCTACACTGGTACCTTTTTGCACTCCCCCACTCCCCTTAAGCACCAGTAGGATGTTTCATGAAATGGGAGCTACTGGTGACCCTAGGGTTTAGGGTTTACGGTTCCTATACAGATCATATGGTGTGTCTCCTAGAATTTGAGCTATAGACTGGAGGGGTTTATGCCTGGGGATTATATAGGGGAGTATTATAGGTCTTATTAAGGGAAGTCCTAGTTCCTAGTTTAGCCTATAGCTCATTTGATCCTATACAAGGGCCATCTGCGCGAACTCCAATTTAAAGAACAATAACGCAGCATTCACAATCACAAGGGTCACTTACAAAGACTCTCAATCAAGCAAAATATCCCAGATGATCCCAACGCTCCTAATATGATTTCAAGCTTATTTATTACTGAGACGCGTGCGTACACCCAAGCCCTCACCCCAAAACCTATAAACCCTAAACCCTTGACCGAAAATCCGCTAAACCATTAAAACCCTAAACCCTGGACCCAAAATCCGTTAAACCATCAAAACCCTAAACCCTTGACCCAAAATCCGTTAAACCATTTAAACCCCAAACCCAAACCCTAACCCTAAATCCAAACTCTACGCCATGTCTCCCCCCTGGGGCCCCTGGCACTCAGCCGAGGCCAGCGCGACCCTTGGGACCTCCGGGAAAAGGCACCTGGGACTCCAGTTATAATCCCCCTTAAGTAGACAAAATATATTAGGGTTATATTGGGATAATGGAAAAGAAAATGGAAACTACGATTTAGGGGGGTATAGTACCCGTTAAGTAGATAGAATATGGCTTTGGGTGTATTATAAAAAGATCCCCATATACCCCATATTCTATCTACTCAAGGAGGACTATGAGCCCAAAAAGTCGTGTTTAGGGTTTAGGGTTTGAGAGTCCAAGGATCCTAATATTGACTTGAGGCTCTCGGTCCCAAATACCATTTAGAGCATAGCATTTGGGCCCTAAACCTCATTATTTGGGTCCTTGGACCCTTATAGGGATGGTTTTGTGTCAAGAGTTTCGGGTTTCCGACGTACTTGGCTTCTTCCCCGCAGTCAGCAAA